AAAAAAAAAAAAAAAAATTGTACTTGGTTGATTTCAAGTATTACTAGTAGCCATTTCAGACTATTTTGCGTTGACTGGTCGTCTGACGTGGCCTCTAAGATAAGCCAATCAATCTGCTATAAATCACAAGCAATATTCCTTACAAATTAGGTGTGTACTAATACCAATGCAAAAGCAAACTAATTGAAGCAAAAAAATTTTCTGCCAATTGTTTCAATGGCGAAAAGGTAATTAATCCAATACTTTTTGCTGTCCCTATGTTTCTGAGCTTTGAATATGGCTATTATGTGGTTACAGCATGACCGTTTTAAAATTGAATATCGACGTAATGTATTAGTCTAAGACATTGTTAGGTGATTCGCCTCTTTCTTTGCACAGAAAAAAAAAAAGAAACTGACTAATTTTCTAGCATAGTGATAAAGTGTTGGTTGGGCGAGGAGCCCGTAAATCGTGTTGCCTTGTTATTTACTTGATGCGTGTACGTGTGCGTTGGTTGCTTGCTTGTTGTGCGTAAACACTATCTTGGCCTTTTACTGTTGAGTTGTGTGTTCGGTATTAGTGAAAGGCTGACTAGTCGACTTGACTTGGCTACCTGTACTTCCTCTATCAGTTAAAAAATTCGAGGGTGAATTGGCTTAGTGGTTAGAAATGGTTGACTCATCCTATTTTCTATCAACAAAAATGAACAAAAATATATAAAAGTTGTATAGTCATATAAAAAAAATTGTCAAACGGACGGTATAAAAAGTTCATTTCGCGTGGATATGCAACAGTCATAGAGTTCATTTCGTATAACCCTTCGCACGTTATACGGTGAAAAGTTCACTTGTCAACGGACGATATGAAAAACTTAATGTATAACTATTTTCACTTCCTACCAGTACGTTGAGAAAAATGATTGCTTGCTTAAGAGATGCTATTTTTTATCTTTTGAAACGAGAGAGCAATATTTTTGCTTAAGAGATGCTATTTTTTATCTTTTGAAACGAGAGAGCAATATTTTTGCTCTAATTGACATTTAATTAGTTTCCATTTTACATGCCAAAATATCATGTGACATGGCAGGCTCGAGGGGAAGGTCGCTCTCATCACCGGCGGCGCCAGCGGCATCGGCGAGGCCACCGCCAAGTTATTCGCCCGTCACGGCGCCAAGGTCACCATCGCTGACGTCCAGGACGACCTCGGCTCCGCCATCGCCCGTGATTTTCCCTCCATTACCTACGTCCACTGCGACGTCACCCTCGATTCTGATGTGGCGGCCGCTGTTGACGGCGTGGTCGCCGCCCACGGCCGCCTCGACATCATGTTCTGCAATGCCGGCATCACCGTCCCGATGCACCTCTCGTCAGTCCTCGACGCAGACCGGGCGCAGTTCGAGCGCGTGTTTGCCGTGAACGTGTACGGCGCATTCCACGGTGCGAAGCACGCAGCGCGCGTGATGATCTCAGCGGGTCGAGGCAGCATCGTGTTCACCTCGAGCGCGGTGGTCGCGACCGCCGTTGAGGCCCCCATCCCGTACGCTGCCTCCAAGTACGCGGTGGTCGGGCTGGCGAACCAGCTATGCCTGGAGCTTGGGAAGCACGGGATACGCGTGAACTGCGTCTCACCGTTCCTGATCGCGACGCCGATGATGGCGACGGGGATGGGGGCGGTGGACGAGGGGAAAGCGTCAGGATGGGTGGATGCGGCGGCAAACCTCAAAGGGGCGACAGCAGGGGTGGAGGACATAGCGGAGNNNNTGTATTTGGGGAGCGATGAGTCCAAGTACGTGAGCGGGATGAATCTAGTGGTGGATGGTGGTTACAGCAAGGTCAACCCGATGCTCAGCATGGCCATTAGAGGCGTTGGTCTCTAATTATGAATGTCTGATTTTTTTAATAATAAATGTTAAAGAAAATAAGTGTGGGATTTGTAAGAAGAAATTTTATGGTTGACAAGCATATTTAGTGAATCATCTATGTATAGTCTATATTATGCTTCTATTATTATTATTATATCTACATACATGAGGTTCACTCAATAATTCATTTACACATTCTTAATTGTGACAAGGCTTCTATTATACACGAGGGATAGGAGAAAATGAGAAGATTTGAAAAGAGAATTTGACAAGGCGTACGGAGATAAAGAAATTTATTGAAATGATAGATCAAGCAGTGTTCTATAAATCGTTATGCACCCGCAAGGCGCTCGACCAGCGCCTAGAGCGTTTATGCGGGGCCTAGAAATCAAGATTGAATACTTTATTTTTTATTTATTTTCACTACCTACAAAATAAAATTATCTCAACTTATAATAAATTAACACCCCTAAGTCAAAATAATTATATTAGTATATTATAATAAAACATGATAACAAAATAATGTAATTAGTATTTAATTTTTTTTTTTTTTGAAAAATCTCCGCCGAGCCTCCTAGGTGGCGCCTGGGCGCCAAGCCCGCCAAGGCGCTGCCAAGCGGTCTGACCAAACTTTTCAGTTGATTTATGCAAATCGAAGGCGGTCAGACACCACCTAGCGCCTAAGAGCAACAATTTGATCATGCAAATCGAAGGCGGTCAGACACCACCACCACCGCCAAGGCGCTGAATTTTTTATCTATGATTAAGCGACAATTTGATAAATCGGTGCATGTTGTTCCTAGTGATAATGGAAGTGAGTTCATGTGTTTGGCCTCTCATTTTCGTCGTCAAGGAATTTTGCATGAGACTTCTTGCGTAGACACCCCTCAGCAGAATGGGTGTGTGGAATGTAAACATCAGCATATTCTCAATGTAGCTCGCGCTTTGCATTTCTAGGCTCATCTACCTCTTCCTTTTTGGGGTCATTGTGTTTTGACTGCGGTCTATCTGATAAATCAGACTCCTTCATCGGTTTTACATGGTAAAACACCATATGAGATTCTTTATGGTTCGACTCCTTCCTTGTCTCATTCGCGGGTTTTTGGTTGCCTTTGTTATGCTCATAACCAAGATCGTAATGGTGACAAGTTTGCTGCTCGGAGTCGTCGTTGTTTATTTGTTGGTTACCCTTTTAGAAAAAATGGGTGGAGTTTGTATGATTTGGATCGTCAGATTTTCTTTGCCTCTCGTGATGTGGAGTTTCTTGAGACTGAGTTCCCATATCAATCAGACTCGTCTGAGCCAAATCCTTTATCACCGCCTCTTGTTGTGCCGATTTCTTCTGTGCCGGGTGAGGATGAGGATCTTCAGGTTGTCTCTTTACCTCATGTTTTTTCTGATACTGAGTGTTCTGCTACTGATATGGACATCTGACGACCGGGGGGGAGGGGGGGTTCTGTTATCACTACCCCTTCCACTTTTCCGGTAGAGCCTTTGGGTCGTGGTCATCGGACTAAGGTTCCTTCCACTCGGCTGAAGGATTTTGTGGTTGACACTGTCCGACCATCGACTGTACCCCCCTCTGCTTCTCCCGAGTCGCCTCCATCCTCCGGTACGCCTTACCCCATAGCACCATTATGTTTCTTGTGATTCATTCTCTCCAGCTCATCGATGGTTTTTGGCTGCTGTCACCTCCGCTCTTGAGCCTCGCACTTTTACTGATGTCGTGATCGATCCTCGATGGCGAGCCGCTATGCACGATGAGATTCGTGCCTTGGAAAATAATGGTACGTGGGATGTAGTTTCTCTTCTATCTGGGAAGCGTGCGATTGGGTGCAAGTGAGTCTTTAAGATCAAACATAAGTCTGACGGTTCCGTTGAGCGCTATAAAGCGCGTCTGGTGATTTTGGAAAATAATCAGGTGGAAGGTCTTGACTATCATGAGACGTTTGCTCCTATCGCCAAAATGGTTACAGTCCGGTTATTCTTAGCTGTGGCTGCTGCTAAGCATTGGGAAGTTCACCAGATGGATGTTCACAATGCTTTTCTTCATGGTGATTTGGATGAGGAGGTTTATATGAAGTTCCCCCTGGTTTTCGCTCTGACGTTAATGGGCAGGTTTGCCGTCTTCGTCGTTCCCTCTATGGCTTGAAGCGGGCTCCCCGCTGCTGGTTTGCCAAGTTTTATACGGCTTTGAAACAGTATGGTTTTTGTCAGTCCTATCATGACTACTCTCTTATTACACTGCATCGTGGTTCTGTCCATCTGTAGGTCTTGGTCTATGTTGATGATCTGATTGTTTCCGGGAATGATACCACATCCATTGCGGCCTTCAAGAGTTACTTGAGTCGTTGTTTTCACATGAAGGATCTTGGGTTGCTTAAGTATTTTCTGGGTATCGAGGTTGCCCGGAATTCTTCTGGCTTCTTTCTTTGTCAGCGGAAGTATGCTCTTGACATCATTGCTGAGGTCGGACTACTAGGAAGCAAGCTAGCTGATTTTTCGTTAAAACAGAATCATTAGCTCCCTCTTGCTGAGGGTGATCTATTGTCTGATCCCGAGCGATATCGTCGTTTAGTCGGACGTCTTATCTATCTGGTAGTGACTCGGCCTGAGTTGTCTTACTCGGTGTATATGCTCTCTCAATTTATGCATCAACCACGTCAGGCTCACTGGAACTCTGCTCTGCGTGTGGTTCGATATTTAAAAGGCTCTCCTGGTCAGGGGATTCATGCGGATTCCGAATGCCCAACTTGCCAAGAAAGAAATCAAATTCACGCTTCCCAAGCGCCTTGGTGAAGATATCAGCGAGTTGTGTCCCAGAAGGAACATGAGTGGTAGAAATGAGACCCTGAAGAACAGCATCGATCTCGAACAAAGTGGCAGTCCACCTCAATGTGCTCAGTACGCTCGTGAAAAACTAGATTAGTCGCAATATGCAGTACAGATTGACTGTCACAGTGTAACCGCATAGGCTGAGAGTGAGCGACACTAAGAGTAGATAGCAGTTCTCGTAACCACTTCAACTCGCATAATGTAGTAGCCATCGCCTGACATTCAGCCTCAGCATAAAAGCGTGCCACAGTAGGTTGTTTCTTGGTTCGCACAGAAACAGCAGACTGACCCAGCTGAATAAACCAACCAGAAAGAGAACGCCGAGTGAGAGGGCAAGACGCCCAATCCGAATCACACCATGCATAAAGTTGAAGATTGGGTGTTATTGTGTATATTTGTGTATTTACCGTATTAACCTTAGGTTATATGTAGCCCTAATTTTGTGTATATATTCTTGGTTTATTGAGAGTTGTATCATCCGATCGAGATGATCTTTTTCACAGTGTTTGTGGTCTCTTTCGTATCAAACCCTGTTCCTGTAACGTGCCTGCAAGTAAAGCATGGTGTCATTTCGTACAATCTCTAATTATTCTTGTTCCATTATATTTGAAAAAGGAAAAATAATTGAGAGATGGTGGAGTTAAAAGGTTTTTTTTTTACCCTGTATCTTTCATTCAACAATTGGTCGTTGCCATAAACAATGTTATTCTGCTTATGTTTTCCTAGTTCAGCAGTTCTGAGAATTCTTGGTATTTTTTCTCCAGGAAGACTTGATTTTCATCTTGAGATAACGGTCCGAGTAAATCGGGCTGAACAATATGCGGAACTTCCTGAAGATGTTTAGCATGCTCTCCCTCTTGAAAGTCGAACCTGAAGGATATTATCTGCCTTTTGAATTTCCTGTGCCATCATTTTCAGGAAATGGAACTCACCATTTCCTCTGTATTTTTCTGGTATGTCGTCCATCTGTAGTTTGCAAAATAATCGGATATCATGTGTAAAACTAATAACAAAAGGTTTATGTTTTATTTCATGGTTTCTGACACTAGTTGTGCATCAAAGGGTGGGTTCAGGAACTTAGGAATGAAAAGAGAGAACAAAGTGAAAATGGAGTTCTCCTTCTCTTTTTTTTTTTTTTTTTTT